GGTGGGGGGGAGGTATCAGTCTCTTCTCACTAATAACAAGTTTTAGGACAACAGGAAACGGCCTCAAGTTGCAGCAGGGGAGGTTTAGATTAGAGATTGGGAAAAATGTCTTCACAAAAGTGATTGTCAAGCACTGGAACAGGCTGCCCAGGGAAGTGGTGGAGTCGCCATCCCTGGAGGGATTTAAAAGACGTGTAGACGTGGTGCTGAGGGACATGGTTTAGTGGTGGGCTTGGCAGTGTTAGGCTGATGGTTGGACTTGATGATCTTAAAGGTCCCTTCCAACCTAAACGGTTCTATGATTTTGAAGCGTAGAGGTCTCCAGATAGCTCACGCTTAAGCAGTGCGCCTAGTTTTCTGTGTGCTTGTGTCGGTTTTAGATCACGCACTCTCCCTGCTGCTTTCCAAGAGAGAGTGCTAAATAATCATCAGGCCCATACTCTGCCCAGTGCAGTTTTGCTTTGCTAAAACCATCTCCCAGTAAGCTTCTCGACGCATGTGCATTTCCAAATAGCGCTAACGGCGTAGCAGCAACCCACTTGCTATGGAGCACCTGGACAATACGAGCAATGAGGGGGCTATTTTGGCACCAAGATTGCCTAGAAAAAAGAGAGTACCCTTGCAAGGGGTCTGGCTTGTGTGTTGGTGTTTGTTGCAAATCCTCTCTCGCTAATAGGGGACCGAGTGGGTGGAGGAGAGATCTTTTGGGAACATTTTTTGTTCATTAAGCTGTTATTGTGGGTAGAGTCAAGCTGTTATGTTTAATAGTAAATAAGTATTCAGACAACACGCTGCCTTAGCCACTCACAACGTACGCGCGCGCACACACACACTTAGAAGCACCCTCCTGGAGCACAGTTGGGAGGCCAACCCCAAAGGAGGTTGGAAGAAGAGGGTGGTAGTGACACACGGGTGGTTTCTACATAGGTGTTTGGAAAGTCCCTTGAGAGCACATGGTGTCAGCCAGGCGTCTATGTAATCCCGTATTCTTCATCTCCATAGAGCAGCCACCACCCTCTTGGTTATGGTCGGGGTCATGCAACCCCTTGCTGATGCTTGTATGTGCTCACAGTCTTGTGCAGGCTCTGGCCGTCCTGAATTTATCACTTCTTATAGATTCAATAGAAGCACAAGTCTCCTGAGAGTACGAGTCCTTGGGAAACTTTCTGCCACCACCTTGCCAGCATTTTACTTTTCCTTTCTTCAGCATGTTGTTGTCCGGTAACTATTTCTCCATCCCAACCTATGGAACCGAGTCACACAGATGGGGCGTTTATAACACATTCACAGTGGAAGATGGTTTCCCAAAGGGAACAAACCGCATGAGAGTGTTGCAAATTGCGGAAAGACCCAGGAACCCCCTTTATCTTAGATCTGAGCTGTGTGACTTACCCACTTCTGCCCTGAAGGAGGGACCCAATCCTCAGTCTGGTACGTTCTTAGAAGATCGCAGATGACATCTCCGGTTCTGTTCTCTGCACCGTTCTTGCCTACAAGCGGTTTTGCAGTCCTGACATGACCCTGCAGGACACAATGGTTTATGGACAAGGCCTAGAGATTTTTGTTTTATAATACACCATGAAATGCAGTCAGCTCCGCCAGCGCTTAGAGACTAATCATTATATGGATGTGGCCCTTTGGTGCTCAAAGAGACAAGGAAATACTTCTCCAGACCGCAACACAAAATATTTTCATGGGAGCTGTAAAAGTTCATGAGGATTTCACAATTTCCTCTTTACAGGCTCATAATCTTTACTGGGTTTTAATTATCACACTATTTTGAAGCCTGCG